GTCGGCATTTTTTAATTGCAAACTTCAATATAATTTGAGTCAATGAATCACGCGCCAACTGATTGAAAGAGTGCCACTCTTGTAGGTTTCGCATCAACGAAGATGCGATGAATCCCTGGGATGGAAGCAACAATGATGAAATAACGGATAGGTTACTTAGCACCATTCAAAGGCCACCGTTACCACCAACAAGAATTCCGACGTATTGCACGGAACACGACGGCAAACACACCAAGGGAATTATTTAACAAAGTGCACTCGTCCTTACGCAGTGTGGTGGAACGCACTTTCGGTGCTTGGAAAAATCGATGGGGGTTTATTCGAGACATGCCTTGGTATGACTTTGCAGATGTGCAAGTTCAGTTAGTAGGTGCGTCAATGGCATTACATAATTATATACGGCGAAACACAGGTAATCCAACAACTGTTTACCCAATTTGTGACGAGGAAGAGGCTATGACAATAATAAATGCCATACCAGAAGTTGAACATGACAAGGATGGTTTAATGGTTGGAGATGAGGACACCCATATGGCATTGGTGCGCCTTCACATATGTGACAAATTATGTTACATGTGTAATAACGGAATGTTGGGAAATATATAATAGTTGAATTAATTCGTATCGCCCCTTCCAGTTGGTGACGTGCCTAACTTTAAAAAACCAAAATCCACAGAATTTTTTTTTTTTTCGAAAAACAAAAAAAGTTGAAACAAATAACAAAAAATAAAAAAGAAAACTAATATAGAAATTGTCATGTGCGACGTCAATAAAAAAACTACCCTTGAAATGAAATTTTCCTTTTATTTATTTATTTTCCCAAAGCATAAATAATTGAAGGATCTTAAGAAATTTTTTTAAAAATATATATTTATATATAGGCAAACTAGCATATTACTCATACATGTATAAATAAATAATCAAAAATTAGTTTCTAAATTAAAATAATAATATAAAATTTATTTAAAATATATAGTAAAAATAATTTATAATCAATTAAATTTTATTCATTTTTATTAGAGTTACACATAAGAGAAAATTTTTATTCAATGTCATTAATTGTGTGCTCTAAATTCTTAATAAAAATCAGCATGTCATAATTTAATTAGTAAAAAATTAAAGAATGAATTATAAAATTTATATTTACAATAAAATATAAATACATTTTGTTTTATAAGTTTCATAATTTTAATTTGCCATATGATACTAGTAAATTACATTTGTTAATATACTAATTTTTTCTTTTTTTGTAAAGCCTAAAAATTTATCTATTCAAAATTGTAAACTGCCTTATGTCATAACTCTTACGTGAAAATGGATTAGTATTAACTTGTGGTATTGACTAAATATTAAAAATGACTGGTATGAGTTAGTTTGGAAGTTTCAATATTAGATTAAATATTAAAAATGAGTTTAGAAAATCTAATTTGAGTCGATTTTTTTTCCAACAATTCTTGGCTTAAGCCTATAATACATCATATTTTAATAACTCAATATAATTAAAAAAAATCTTAATGTTTATATTGTTTTTTATCAATCAATAAAAAATAATTTTTTTAATTACTTAAAAAATTAAACATCAAGAGAAAAAAATCTATGGAATATGTGAATTGATTCGTATATTTTAGTAGTATAAAAATTTAAATTTTAAAACTAATTAGTTAAGTTTCTTTTTCAAATTTCTAAATTTAAATTTTTAAATGGATTAAATAATTTTCTTTTTGAAATGCTCAAATCAAGACATAATACTAAGATTTTTTTTAAAATGATTCAATAAAAGCTGGCTAATAGCAGATGTTTTAATTATTATAAAAATTAAACATTAAGAGATTTTTTTTTTTATTTATGGAAGATGTAAATTAATTCTTATATTTTAGTGGTGCAAAAATTTAAATTTTAAACTGGTTTGTTAACTTTTCTTTTCAAATTTTTAAATAAATTAATTAAATTTTCCTTTTAAAATGTGTAAATCAAGACATAATTTTTTTTATTGACTCAATAAAAGTTATTCAATATAAGATTTTTTAATTATTTAAAAATAAGAATTTTAGAAAAATAGTTGGAGGGATTTGAGTTTCACACGACCCTTTTCATTATAAATCTTCATTTTCTATATACCATAGATGCTAACAAGTGCCTCTACGCATTATTGTTTAATGTTGAAAAGTGTTGTTTAATGTTGAAAAGTGTTTGCTATTATTTTGGGACTATAAAAAGTATAAAATGACAAAATAGGTTAAATAAGTTAATAAAACAAAATATCACATTCAACTCATAATCATTACACTTTTTCTCTCATAAAAATAAAAAAATCCAAACCAAATGATAGGGATGGCAATAGGGATTAATGGGGTGAATATTAATTCTCCATCCCCATTCCCCTATAATTATTTTTTCCCATTCTCCATGGATACTACCTTTCCCATCGCCTAATGAGTTTGGATTTTTCCCGACCCAGCTTGACCTCCTTTTTTTTTGTATTTTTAAAAGATTCACAACTAAAGCTAAATATATATTCAATCTTATTTTATTTTATTTGACTCAACAACAAAATCAAATACACATTAATTAACATTGTCACATTATTTTTATCAAATTTTATGTATATTTAGAATTTTTTTTTAAAATTTATTTAGAAATTCTATTCATACAAAAATATTCCATCTTCTTTTTTAATCTCGTTTCTATCTTCTTCTTCTTCTTCTTCTTTTTTTATTTTTAAAATTTTTTTTTGTTTGCATTTATAGAATGAATTTTTTTATTTCAATATCTCCTGCAATTGTTTTATTGGATTCCTTTCTGATTTGATGGTAACCTTAAGTTGAATTTTTCAATTTTCATCTTAACTAGTGATGACCTTAACTGAAATTTTGTATATTTTTGCCTTCAATTTTCATGTTTTGGTTATGATTAATCGCGCATTTTTTTATCAATAGTCATAGTCTTGTCGCCGTTAGATTGTCACCATCACAAATCGCCATTGCTATAGTGAGAGGATTAAGAGAGTAAGAATTAGAACTCTAGTTGTAAACAAATTTTTTTTTGTTTGCATTTATAGAATGAATTTTTTTATTTCAATATCTCCTGCAATTGTTTTATTGGATTCCTTTCTGATTTGATGGTAACCTTAAGTTGAATTTTTCAATTTTCATCTTAACTAGTGATGACCTTAACTGAAATTTTGTACATTTTTGCCTTCAATTTTCATGTTTTGGTTATGATTAATCGTGCATCTTTTTATCAATAGTCATAGTCTTGTCGCCGTTAGATTGTCACCATCACAAATCGCCGTTGCTATAGTGAGAGGATTAAGAGAGTAAGAATTAGAACTCTCGTTGTAAACAAATGAGTGAAAACATATGGAGAAATTATCTTTTGATATACTTAAAAAAAAAAAAAGCATATGGGCAAATTTGTGGATACCCATCCCCAATCCATTCCTGATGGAGATTTAAAGAATATTATTTACCCGACCCGTCGGACAAGAAAAAAGGAAAAAATCCATGTATTTGGGTTGCGTCTCCATGAATACGCACATGGTAAGTTATTCATTGTCATTCCTACCAAACAAGGCTAAAAAAGTCAAGTTAAAAACATAAATTGGCTATATTAGCCAATGTCAAACAAAACTTAAAAAATGTCATGTGTTATTTAAATTTTTTGTCATTTACTTTTGTCCAAGTGTTCTCTATGTGTTGTTTAATATTAAAAAATGTGTAAAAAGTATCTTAAAAATATATAAAATGTTAAAAAAAATATTAATTTTAATATAAGTCCATTAAAGAAAGTAAAAAGTATTTTGTATTTTGTATTTTGTATTTTTTAATTTTTAATTTTTTTTAATCTTTTTACTTGTATCCTAACATTTTGGACAGTAAGAAAAAAAGTCAATTTATTAACTTATTTGAGCTCGATCATCTTCTTGCCTTTTTTTTTTTCACGTTTCCTAAGAAAATAAAATTCCAAAGCAAGCCTAATTAGTAAGATCCAACCATTATTGTTAATTTTAAATATAACAATTTTTGTTAATTTTAAATATTTTTATTATATCGTATCCCTTCACATGATTGGTGTAGGGTAGGAATGGCAACGGGGCGGGGTAGGGCCGGGGATCACCCTTCCCATCCCCGATCCCTGATGGTAAGAATGTCCCCGTCCCTGGCCCCGATCCCCGACGGGGAACCTATTACCATCCCCGTCCCCGTCCCCTAACGGGGAACGGGTTTCCCCGACCCCGAAATTCCCCGAATCCAAAAAAAAAAAAAAAACAAACAAACAGTAGTAACAACATCTTCAACATCAACATCATCAACAACAATATCATCAAACAACATCAACAGCACACAAATCTGAGTAGAGAGAGATAGATCTAAGTAGAAAGAGAGAGAGAGATCCATCTGCTCAAATCTGGCGTGGTAGAGGCAACGTCGTCGTCGTCGGAGGTCTCAGAGGAGAAGGAGGTAGCCCTCGTCGGAGGAGGAGGAGGAAGAGGAGGAGGAAGAGGAGTTGGCGCTCCTCGTCGTCGTCGTCGTCGTCGTCATTGCCTGTAGATACCTTATTCGGCAATGATTCTGTAGACACCTTATCTGCCATTGATCTTCATCACAAGGTCTACACAGCAGAGAGAGAGAGGAAGAGAGGCTGAGAGAAGTGAGTGTGATGTGAGTGTGAGAGAGGGCCTAAACATATAATATAATATATATATAACTATACGGGGATCAATCGGGACGGGGCCGGGCCGGGGTTGGGGAACCTATCCTCGTCCCCGGCCCGAAAATCATCAGGGATTTAATTTTTAATACTATCACCGGCCCTATGGGGATAATTTTTGGGAAAAAATCGTTCCAATCGGGATCAGATCCCCATTGGGCCGGGTTTAAATTGCCATCCCTAGTGTAGGGCTCATTTTAATAATCATGTAATCTTGATGTTTTTTGGTTGTAATTATTGGTGTGGAACCCATTTTAATAATAAAATATTTTTTTGGATTAATATGTCAGTTTCATCCGGACGTCTGCAAATTAAGCAATTGTGGGGTCCAGTTTCACCGTATTAACGAAGCTTATGATGTATGTTATCTTCTTCCACGCCCCTTCTCTTTTTCTTCTTCTTTTTTTTCTTTTCTTTTTTTTTTAAATATAGTTTTATATATTTTTAAATTTTTTTTTACTAGTTATTAATTTTAGCTTTTGATTAAAAAAAGGAGATTTTTTTTGAAGTCCCTAATATTAAGATTTTATAGCAAAAAAGACATTCAATATTTTAATAATGTCTAAGGTCCCTCAAGTTAATTTAGAGAAAATTCGCGTCACAGAGAAAATTGGTCAAGAGAAATTCTGGTTTTGAAAATTTGACCTTACCTAAACTTCCTACTGTAAATTTCTCTACCCTCTCCTTCTTCAAATTTCTCTGCCTTCCATATACTTCCCACTCTTCCAGAGAAATTTCTCTTCCTTTCCACAAAATTACATCTCCAAAGAAATTTTAAATTTCTCTACCCTCCCTGCCTCTCCTAGACTCAACAGTCCAGAGAAATTTAAAAATTTCTCTAACTTTACTGGCCTTCAATTGGTCAAAATGAATCCAGAGAAATTTGAAAACCCAGAGAAAATTGGTCAAAATGAACCCAGAGAAATTTGAATTTTCTCTGGGTTTGAGTGAAGAAGCTATAAAGATTTGAAATTTGAAATAAAAAAGTGAAACAGTTGTAGGAGAATTTGAAATGTAAAGGCTGTGACAAAGTGTTGTAGGCATTTATGTAATAGAATAGTTAGAACAGATGTAGTATACGTATGTTATGCATTTCATGGTTGTTTTGGTGAGATTGAGATTAGTTAGTAGTAGAGGGTATTTGGTAGCTGACGTGAATGTGATTTGGGTTTTTCACAGATTGTGGGCTCCATTGGAATCTAATGGTCCAGTGAAATTATAGCATAGAGAAGAATTTCTCTGGACACTTCAACCTAGAGAAATTCTTTAAAACCAGAGAAATTCCCCCTAAATCCTAGAGAAATTCACTCAAACCGAGAGAAAATCCCCTTCCAACCTAGAGAAATTCACTCAAACTAGAGAAAATCTCCCTCTCCAACCCATAGAAATTCCCCCTTACAATCTTTTACAGTTAAAAATCATAAACCTCAGACAAAATGTGTTCCATGGTTCACACATTGGTTGGGGTGTTACAAGATCTTCTCTTTCATCTGAAGTTCTTGCATTGCCATCCTAATTGGCAAGAAATAGAGTTCAAAAGATCCAAGATCAAGACAAAGCATGCAAAATCGAGCCTTCATAGCATCAATTCTTTCAGAATACTTAAATCTAAAAGGAAGTTACTTCCCAATCATTGTATTGATGAATAGACAATAGAGCACAATCAATTACAAGTCCCAAGAAAATGCATCTACATAAATGACAATGCACTATTGCAGTTTAAGCCTAAATTGAAACATAGATAGATAGTAATTCAAGAAGACATATTTCAAAGCTGAAAAAGCTAGTACAGGTTTTCTAATGCTTTAACAGTGTCGATATTAGCCAATATTTCCCAAAGCTAATTTGAGTTTGCTAGTTGCATGATAAGATCTATAGGCATGAGAAAGAACATTCAACAACTGTATAACCAATTCTTCGAAGAAACAGAACAATCCATAAGCCATGAGGCTTTAACTCTGATTTGATTGAAGAAGAAACCTACATCATGAAGCTAGCTGAATCCAAGAGTGCCGCTTTGATTCCCTGCAAATTTTTTCAATCTCATCCATCGGTTGAATGACTCTAATCTCATTGTTCGCCATCATGATTGAAATAAGTCCAGTATCTGGATGAATCGCAAATCAAAGCTGATCAAGGTCGACGATTCCATCAGAACCGACTGGAAGGTAAGTGACATAGCAATTCAAGGGCGTTTTGAACAAGGGACCCATGACCACTGAGAGAAAGTAGTGGAGTTAAATCTCTTCCATTTCTCAGTGACAGCAAGTGCAGCAACACGGAAGTCACTCGACGAAAGGGCACCATCCCATGTCAAGATATCAATCTTTGATCCATTCGAGACCATCACAGCGGGGACGAAATTAGCGATTGTGACCTCGCGGTTCTCGAGGACTTAGAGGGAGTCCTTGGTCTGAGAGTCAAGAGTTTTGATCTTGTTCATCAGAGCCTCGGACTGCTTCAGGAGGTTTTGCTCGAGAGATGAGAGAGATAGAGAAAGATTCGGTAATGGAGAAGTTAACAGAGAGAGAATTCAAATTTCTCTGTGTGGGGTTGAAGGATCTTAGACGTTAAAAAATAATATTGTGGATCTTTTCCATTACTAAAAATGGGAAATGGACTTTAAACTAATTTTTCCTTAAAAAAAAAAGTCAAAAATAATTAAAAAAAGGATAAAAGGCTGAATCCATATTTCCTTTTTTTTTTTTAAATTTTTTTTTTAAGACAAGTATAGTGAATTGTTTTCAAAAACTATTTGTAGACTATTTTAAAAACAATTCATTTTTTAAGAAATATCAAAAAATTATTTTGAAATTTTAATACTATTTTTACCTTAAAACATAATAAATTTAATTAAAAAGGGGATAAAAAGCTGAATCCATGTTTGCTTCTTTTTTTTTCTGTTTTTAAAAGACAAATTTGTATATTAAATTGTTTTCAAAAACTATTTTTAGACTTCTTTAAAAATAATTTATTTTTTAAGAAATATCAAAAAATTATTTTGAAATTTTAGAACTATTTTTACTTGCTAAATACTGCTATGTAGTTTTTAGAAATAAAAAAGAAATTTATTGTCCCAATCATTTCCATCTTTATGGTGTTGATAAGGACAGTTCAACTCATTGTCCGTGAACCCTGACTAGGAGAGAGAGAGAGAGAGAGAGAACAAAATAAACAAATTTGAGGCAGTGGCTTCATTGGATTGGTATGTTATGCTAAAGTATCGTTGAGTGAGTTGATTTTTTAATTTTTTAATTTTTTGATTTTTTTAAATATTTTAGTTTGGGTTAGAAAATTTGGTTTAAGAATGATTTTTTTATTTTTTTGATTTTTTTTATAAGAGAAGAGTGTAATGATTATGAGTTAGATGTGATATTTTGTTTGTTGTAATTAAAATAGCCTATTTTATCTTTTGTGATTAAAATAGTCAAAAAAAACTTCCAAACCTTCTTCCCAAATGGTGCCTAAAGGATAACATTGGGTAAATGTTATAATAGTATTTGTTATTATTATAATTTGACAATGAATAGAAAAAGATAATAGAATTATAATAATAGTATTTCAATAGTTAGATATCATTTTAGTATAATCAAATATAGAAATTGGTATATTCGGGATGACCGTGGTCGTTTGACTAGTCGTCCCAAACATATCAATTTCTGTGGTAGATTGTGTAAAAATGACGGTTTTGCAAAAATTTATTTATTTTGTTGGGAGAGAGGCAATCATTTGCCAAAATCTGTGTTAAATTTGGCACAAATTTTGGCATTTGTCAAATTTAGCAACGATAAACACAATTTTCTTTTTTAGCTGTCAAATTATAGCAATAGCAGCTTCAATGACTAATCATTGCTCTTACATTATCAATATTTTAATGCATATTGGGACAGTCTAAATTCAATTGAAAAAAATTATCAGACATATGTCCTTTTTCAAATTTATTTATTATTTTATAAACTGATTTTTTTTTAGATTAATAATGAAATTGTAAAAATTTCTTTTGAAATTTAATTTTAAAGTACACTAACCTCTCTTAGGATTTAATAAAGGGAAAATTGGTCTAAGGTCCCTTTCCCACTTTTCATAATGGAAGAGATCCACAAAATTATTTTTTGATGTCTAAGATCCCTAAACATACAACAGAGAAATTTCAGTCCTTTATATTATCTTCATCATCTGACCCACTGCCATCCCCAACAACCCGACTCTCAGTCCTCCTCATCTTCCAATACTTCCCAAAGCTTTACCCAGTGGAGATTCCTGGCCTCGTTCTCCTTCTCTTCTTTCCTCTCATCGCAATCGCATACATCTTCGTCTCCGAAGCCCTCGTGATCCAGGCGCTCATCTTCATCTCCTACGCCGGACTGAAGATCCGCGACATCGAGCTACTTTGTCGGCTCCGGACATGTGTTTTGGTGCAGCGTTGATCCAGGTTCGCTTCCGACGGCGCTGGGTTATACTCTATGATATTTTTGATCGGTACTGGTTGCGTCAATAGTATTTCACTTAAGTTCACTTCTAAAGATTCTTCTAGGTGAAGTCGTCTTTGTTGAAGATTACAGTTTATATCTAACACAGTAATTATTTTGTTTGATGAACTTCCAATAAAGATGGATACCCGTATGGAGTCAAGTACTTGGTGTGGTTCTACTTTGTTCCAAGTTACACGTACAGTTCTGTGTATTTGTTCTCTTTTAGCATTTCCAATTATGTTTTGACAAAAAGCAATACATTGACTATTGAAATGTTGGTGTGCTGTTGTACTGGAGGATCTGAATCCTATATTCTTAAGTTCACAAAAATAGAAATTGAAGCCAAGTGTAGATTAATGAGAAAAGTGATCTTCTGGTTGAAACTAGAGAAATTATTTGATTTTTTAACTGAATTTTCTCTGGGTTGAAACCAGAGAAATTCTCTGGTTTTTGAACTCAAACACCAAGTTCTGTTCATAAAAATACAACTTTACTGTAAATAGAGAGAATTTCTCTAGTTTGTCTGGTTTGAAGACAATTTCTCTGGTTTTGAACCAGAGAAATTTGTGGGTTTGTGGGTTTGTTAGACATGGGTTTAATTGTAGTTAATAGAGCCAGAGAAATTTGCGAAGTCAAAGAAATTTCCTGGATAGCCATACAAATTTCCTTTCCACAATTTTCTCTGGATTTATTTGGTACTCAGAGAAATTTCAATTTTCTCTGGAGAGAATTTCTTTGGAACTGAAATTTCTCTGGATTTCAATTTTCTCTGGAGAGAATTTCTCTGGGACTGAAATTTCTCTGGATTTCAATTTTCTCTAGAGAGAATTTCTCTGGGACTGAAATTTCTCTGGATCCTGTTAAGGGACCTTAGACATCATGAAAATATTTGATGTCCTTTATACTATAAAATCATAATATCAGGGACCTTAAAAAAAATACCCCTTTAATAAAATTGTAGAAACTTCTCACGGGAACCTCCTTTAAGGTTTTTGAAATTACAAAAATCTCACTTGAAGGTTAGTTTTTTTTATTTTTTTTTATTTTTATAGATTTCCCTTTTGTTACTTTATTGAAAAAAAAAATTATCCTTTAAAATTGTGTGTAATTACAAAGAAATAAAAAATGAGAAAAATACAATTTAGTGTAGATTTAGAAGAAAAAAAGGATACATAAATAGTAAACTTTAGGATAAATTGCAAATACATCTTTTGAGATTTGCTTAAAATACGAATTGTCCTTTTTAGTTTGAAAAATTACAAATGCCCTCCTGTTTGAATTTTTTATTTGACAGAATTAAAAGAAAAGAAAAAACTTTTAACTATTATTTTATAAAGTAATAATATTATTTAAATTGTTAATTGAAATATATTATTGACAGTATTAAAAATTATTAATTGACTTGATAATTTATTATAATAAAATGAGACATTTGTTATGCGATTATAAATTTGAATGGGTGTGATGTAATTTTCAAAACTATAGGGACAATCTGTATTTTAAATAAATCTCAGGAGGTGTATTTATCATTTATCCAAAACTTTATAAACATTAATAGTTAAAATTTTGAATATTCTCATATATTTGTAAAAGCCCACTAAATTGTAATTCCCATAAAAAAATGCAATTCCTATTGTTTTTAAGGGAAATAACAAATCAGCGGCATTTTTGAAAAGTAATTACAAATTGGTGATAAACTTTACAAATTTTAATGATTAAACTCATAAACTTTACCATAAATTGTAATTATTTTCAAAAAAGATAACTAACTTGTAATTTTCCTTTTTGTTTTGTTTATTGTGCTTGCAATTACGGTTGCTTGAATGTACGTCTTTTATTCAAAACTCACATGTTATCAAGAATGTTGTAAATTAATTTTAAAAGATCCAGTATAATTTATTGTCACAAACCCTATTTTATTTCATAATATCGTTCTTTACCCCAATATTTTGTGGCAACAACAATAATTTCATGCTGGTGATGCCTCCCCACCCCACCACAGCACTCTTCCGGCCAATCACCACCCAACCATAATCCCTTTCGCGAGCCAATCACAGTTCATCTTCTGTTCAGCCACCACGCAACCATAACCCCCACCTTAATTTTGAGTTGTTTTAGAAAGTTGGTTAAAAATTAATTTTTTGACTTTTTTTAATTTTTTAATTTTTTAAAAACTATGTAAAAAAATAAAAAAGCAATATGACTCAAAATAAATTAAAAATCAAAATTTAACCATCTTCACATAAGAGTTGTTTATCTTATGATAAAATGTCCAAATATAGCACGCTTGACTATAAATTTTAAAGTTCTAATTCAAACCACTAATACATTATCACTAAAAGCAACACTAATGACGTGGCAGTGTAAGAAAAAAGAAAAAAGAAAAAAGAAAAACAAAGGCCTAACAATCACATCAGTGTGGGGCACACATCTCGCCACGTCATTAGTGGTCTGTTTAGTAATGTTAAATTAGTGATATGAAATATTTTTGTAAATTTTACTAAACTTAGAGCATCCGTATCAAACTAGCTAAACTCATTTTTTTAACTAGATGAGTAGTACTGTTAATCAAAAATGGTTTGTATCAGGCTCGCTATTGTTCACGGTTAATATACGAGTGCTATAATACCTCGCTTGTAGCGAGGTACTGTTCATCGCTAGTTGTGTGTTACCAGACGTCTGGTCAACAACAAATTTTTATTTGTTTATTTTTATTTTTAATTTTTTACATTTTCTTCAATTTTACTTTTTGTAAAACATAAGAATTGTTTGATTCATAACTCATCAATTTAATTATAAAAAAAAAGAATAACAAATATTTTAATAAAATTGAGTTAAAATAGAGAGTTTGATGTAATAGAATGACTAGCTAAAATAGAAAAATAATTTTTTAAGTTATAATTTAACTAAAATTTTGAAGAGCCTCATATGATGTTTTTATAAGCCTAATCTATCTTTCAGTGATCATGATGACCTCTTTGATCAGATTGAAATAACAAAGCCGTTTGATTTTTAACGGTTGATGGTGGATGCAGATTGTGATGAGTAATTTGAGAGGAGAATCCTCATCATCATCATCATCAAGCAGGTCAGAGATGGAGGAGCCGTATGATGCGGGAATGGAAGAACCAATGAGGGGCATGAACGATCCTGATGGGGACATGTGGGAAGAATGGATGGGATGGGAAGGAGCTGGAAGTCGCGACTACTCATCCCACATTAACCGTTACATCTGAAAATTGTTAATATTAATTAATGTCGTCTTTTTGGACACCCCCAATCAAGATGGTTTTTGATGTTGTAAATATATAAGTTCAAGTGGGATGTTAAATATGCATATTTCCAATGTACACTTGAGATATCATGTGACATGTATACATGTTAGTTTCGACTAATAAAAAATCCCAACATATTAAGTTGGTCAACAATTATTATAATTGTGGGAAGCGGTGTATGTTAATTTTATGGGAGAATTGGTGAAAAGTGATCCCATGTTATTTGGTTTAACGTGTAATTATTATTATTTTTTTTTATGATAAATGATATTTTTCATGAAATTGTTTGGTAGAAAAGATAAATTATAGTTTTAATGAAATATTTTTCAAATTTTACTCCACTATCGCTAAACCACTGGTGAATGGTTGGTGCTGATAGAAGTAGTGGTGGTGATGAAATATACAGATAGAATGATTAGGTGGATAGATATATGACGCATGAACAAATAAAGAGATGACATATGAATAAATAAGTTGATAGATAGATAGGTAAGGATAATATAATCTTTTAAATTATTATTATTCTTTTCGTCCCAAATTAATAGCGTTTGTAGCTATTATCTTGGAAGGTTTGAAATTAAACCAATGACTACGGCACGAGTATCCTAATTTTATTTTACACACTATAAGAATAATAATAAAAAAAAGAACCACGACAACTCCATTTCAAAAATATATAAAAATGTAAAATATGGACTTAATTTCTTAAATTTTAAAATACTTAAAGGATCTCAACTGATGAAACTTTCACATACAATGGCGCTGTTTAGCAACCGGCTAAAATAGCCTCAAAAACTAAAAAAGTCAAATAGTCTCAAATAGTACATAAACCAATAATTTATATGTATTATTTTTTTAAAAAAAAAAAGAAAAGAAAAGCTAAAGGGCAATCGGCAGTCTACACTGTCAGGTACTGTGCACTGACAGCTAGTCCCATAGCTGTTAAATTACAATTTTGCCTCTTTAGATTAATTTTGAAAAATGGGAGATTAGGGACAAATTTGTTATTTTAACTTCAAATATCATTTCAACACATTTTTCAATACAACAACTCAAATAAAAATTCATCTCATCTTTCCAAACACAAAACCAAAATAGCTAAATAGTCAAAAAGCTTAAAAAATAATCACTTCCCAAACGAAGCCAATAAATCTAATACTCCTATGAACTTAATATGGGGAGGTATCGCTGTTTAATAATAGAAAAAATAGTAAAATTTTATAAATTTTGTTTGATAAATTTTGATAAGAGAAAAAATACAAATTTTACAAAATGGAAGATCAAGACAAAAATAACACAACGACATTAACGGTTAGTGCGGAGGCTATTTTGATCGAAAAAAGGCCTCCGATATTTTGCAGGACTTGAACTAGGAAATATCTTCCTTATGTCCTTAGTAAAATATTGTTGGTGAAACTTTAGTTAACAAAATTTAATAAAAAAATAAAATTTATAATTGTTCTCATATATATATAATAATAAAATTACTTAAATTATTAATTAAAACATATTTCTAACATCATTAAAAATTATTAATTAACTTGATAATTTATTAATAAAAGGGACGATTTGTTATAAAATTAAAAATCTCATGAGTAGAATGTAATTTTTAAAATCACAGAGAACGATTGGTATTTTAATTAAATCTCAAAAGATATATTTATAATTTATCCTAATTTATAATACTTTTATTTTTTATTTTTGAAAAAAAAAACGTGGTAATTGATTGAAAAAAATCAACCATTGCCCTTTCAATTAATTATATAACATCTTCTGACAATTAAAAAAAAATCAATTTATTAATTTATTAAGGTTACATCATTTCTCTATTTTTTTTTTTTTTGCATATTTTTTACCTCCCTGTATTATCATATAATAGTATTTTATCTCCTATCTTTTAAAAATACTTATATATCTCTCATATAATTTTTGACTACAATACAATATTAACTCCATTAAATTAACCTAAGGGTGTTTGGCAACTTGGTATAAAGGCTTGGGGGTTGAGACCCCATATCTCAAGTTCGAAACCCCTTGGGTCAATCTCTTGGGCGTAGTGCAGTTGGTTAAGAGGTTAGCCTCAAGTTGTTGCTACCACAGCACTTGGTATGGGTTCAATGTTAGAACAATCTTCTGTGTAAATAAAATAATATGAAACAATTCAAACAAAATAAAATAAAACTTACAATATTTATTTTGTAGAACCGAATAAATAATTCAAAGACCAAGTCGAGTGTGTGACACTCTGTCCTTAAGACAAATTCGCCTCACTACGGTGTCTACGGTTGAGTGGCGTCTATCTCCTAGGATACAATAATCTTCACAAACTTGTAAAAGCACTTCAAATAAATTTGTTTGGCGAACCAAACCTGTGTTCTATACTCTCTTTAATTTATTCTAAATCTAATATAAACAATATATGCTCCTGAAGAGAATTGGACAGCAAAAGGTATTTTCCAGACTGATTTTTCAGACCAAAAGACTGCTGGAAATGTGGTATGTATTTATAGCCCAGTTGGTGACCTTTCAAACTTACCCGAACACGTATTTTTTGAAAAGAATAGGTGCACCACTATTCAAACATGGTTTAACCATTGCAAAATTTCAAACAAATTTTCAACCAAATGAAAAGTGATCCGTTGGATAATAGTTAAAGTAACTGTTGGATCTCTATTCTTTAAACCATTTGAAATATATATATATATATATATTAAACTATTTGAATAGTTTAATAAATAAATGAAGAGGTACAAACTTTAGGAAACTACTTAGGAACCTAAAATTTAAATTTAGAATTAAATTAAATTCCCACAATAACTTTTAGTGAAAAAATTCAAATGAATTTTATTTAAAAAATTAATGTTAGACCCGAAAACGACGTCAACTTCATATTCACTCATAAATGGTTTTGACGTTCCGTCTTTACCGCGTGACTTGCCACGCGACAATGAACACTTCACCTCTTCGGACCCACCCCAAAAGACGTTTAGGGCCCACTCAAATTTTGGCCTTAAAGTTGGCCCAAAATAAGCCATATAAAACACTATTTTTTCCAACAATCCCCCATATGAATGGAATTTGACGGAGAGAAAATGCAACAACATGATCTAATTACAGAGAGTACAGAAATTGGAAATATTCTGCAAAGGATAGGTAGCTTTTGGTTTTGAACCTTCCTTTGTGAGACACTATCGGATTTACTAGCTAACCAGTGAATATGATGTCTTGAACTGTCCAGCCGTTTGTGTAAACCAAGACAATAGAACTCACACAGTATATCCCCAGACACAGTTTAGTTCTCACTATTGTGTTCATTTTGGTCTTGAACAACCTAGTCTTTCATGAGTGCTCTAGAGAATTGTAGCCCTTCACAAATCTCATAGAACCGGCCCAGTTCACAATCACATAGGAGATTCTTATGAAGAGTATCCTGCTATACTCCACTAGGTTTACCTAGATATAAGAATCATTAAAAGTTTTACTTAACCTAAAACGCTGCAGACATCACTATGTCATCATAGAAATGGGTAAGAGTTAGACTCCCCAGTGATCCTTCTGAGTTATACATAACTCGGTTGTCCCTTTGAACCTAGATCTTGGGATTTCCAGTCAACTAGGTTGAGTTGCCGTTGTGGTAACTCTTATTTAATAGGCTTTAGTCTCATTCCCCTCGATGAATTCTCAACTAACTCTCTTGCTAACCCTTTGGTTAGTGGATCCGCTATGTTGTCTTTAGATTTCACATAATAATGGAAATAATTCCATTAGAGAGTAGTTGTCTTACGGTATTATGTCGACGACGAATATGTCGAGACTTACCGTTATACATATGACTCTGTGCTCTACCTATAGCTGATTGACTATCGCAATGTATGCATATAGCATGCACCAGTTTTGGTCATATTGGAATATCTTCAAGGAAGTGGCGAAGCCATTCTGCTTCTTCCCCTGCTTTATCTAAAGCTATGAATTCTGATTCCATAGTAGATCTAGCAATACAAGTCTGTTTGGAAGATTTCCAAGATACAGCCGCTCCACCAAGAGTAAAGACATACCCACTGGTGGACTTCGAGTCTCTAGTATCCGATATTCAATTTGTATCACAGTATCCTTCAAGTACTGCTGGATGTCTAGTATAATTAAACCCAATGTTACGAGTAAATCGGAGATATCTAAGAACCCTTATAATTGCTTTTCAGTGTTCTACTCCCAGATTACTCATATATCTACTTAATTTACTTACTGCATAAGCTATATCTGGGCGAGTGCAGTTCATCAAGTATATTAAGCTTCCAATAATTTGGGCATACTCTAATTGAGAAATACTTTCCTGTACATTCTTAGAAAGATACAAATTAATATCTATAGGTGTTCTAGCAAGATGATCATCATCTTTGGTGAATTTGTCAAGTATTTTCTCAATGTAATGAGATTGTGACAAAGCATATCCTTCTGATGTTTTGGTAATTTTCATACCAAGAATTACATCAGCAATGCCCATGTCCTTCATGTCAAAATGTTTATTCAACATTTTCTTAGTAGTTTTAATCATATCATTATTGCTACCTATGATGATCATATCATCTACATAAAGATATACAATGACATAACCTTTGTCTGTGTTTTTAATATAAACACATTTGTCACACTCATTAATTTTAAATCCATTTGACATCATTGCCTTGTCAAATTTCTCATGCCATTGCTTTGGCGCTTGTTTTAAACCATATAATGATTTAACCAAGTTACACACTTTCTTTTCTTTCCCTGGAACAGAAAAACCTTTTGGTTGTTCCATATAAATTTCTTCATTTAACTCACCATTTAAGAAAGCGGTTTTCACATCCATTTGATGAATTTCTGAATTGTATAAAGATAGAATGACAATTAGCATTCTAATGGATGTTATTCTAGTAACTGGTGAGTATGTGTCAAAGTAATCAAGACCTTCTTTTTGTCTA